CTCCGAGACCCCCTACCCTGACGTGGTCCCAAAGTCAAGTCGAGGGAGCCTCCGGAGGAGCGGATTCACCAGTTTGGGCACCCCCGGTCAACAACTGGGGAACTTCATCCGAGGACGAACAGGGGCCATCAGCACCCCCACCCAGATCTGAGGTATGGGAATCTCTGGTTCCGAGGAGCTCAGTTCCAGTATGGGCGATGGAAGTGCCAGAGGCGCGGATTGAATTTTGCACTGTTTGTTTAGAGCAGGACCAACCATCCATCTATGTGTGCGTGGGATGCTATAACAGGCCCGCCTGTTAAAGCTGCAGCCGGGTGCTAGTAACACAGACAGATCCCCTTCCTGCTGTCTACTCTGCCGTCGCCGGGAACCCAGGTCCCCTACCGGATACCGGGCACCCCGCGGCGTAAGATTGAGGCCCCCACGCCCAAGAAGACCGCCTCCCCTAGTCAGACCTCCGCCAGTTCCCCCTAGGCCAGACTTTATGGAGCCATTAACATCGAACCAGCGGGGACCCCTCACCCAGCGACGTGAGTTCCGGGGAAGAGGACGAGGAAGATCATTGAGGGAGTAAACCCTTTGAGAAAAAAAATCAAACCCCGACCCTTTTAAGGGCCAACCAAATGTTTAGAAAAGATGCCTTCTATACAGAGGTAAATAAGAAACGATTTGTGTCAAAAAGAAAAGAGTACCTTTTAAAAATACAGTCAAAAAAGAAACTTTGTGTGTCTTAGAAAAGAGTACCTTTTTTTAAAATACAGTCAAAAAAGAAACGATTGTGTCTTAGAAAAGAATACCTTCTTATACAGTCAAAAAAGAAAAGAGAACCTTCTTATACAGTCAAAAAGAAACGTGTGTGTGTGTCTCAAGTTAACACCAGTTCACTTTTTATATTTTTATAAGAACTTGGAATTCTTTTTTCTTTTTTAAAGCAACTTTTAATTTTTTTTCTTTTAATAATAATAATAAACAGGGAAAAAGAATAGGGGAAAAAACCACAGAGTCAAGTTTTCTAAAATAAATTCCTATAAAACACACAGACTAATATATATATATATATATATATATATATATATATATATATATATATATATATATATATATATATATATATATATATATATATATATATATATATAAAGCACTAAAAAACCAACAACACTGTATATCCTAAATGTCGGATCTACCAAGTAGATACAAGGTCACGGATGGAAATTTATATAAAGCACTAAAAATGACCAACGACACGAACAATAAAAATTGTCAAATTTTCGAGACGCCCTGTCCCCTCCTCAGGACAAAGAAAAAAGTTAAAAAGTCATAAGAACAAAGGAAAGACAAACAAAAACAACTAGCACTACTACTAAACTACTAAACACTAGATATTTACATACTTAATTACATGTTGAATTGGAAATTTTTAAGAACACTAATAAAGAAAGAAATCCGGACCGCTATGAAATGCGTCCGGTCTATCGGGTATACTCGGGTGAAGTGCGATTTACATAATTGAACGAATTAATTATGCTAATTAATTACGACAATCAGTAAATCGTACATTGTTTCACTCTCAAAATGGCGTAACTTTACTTAATAAAGAATAATGAAAGAAAAATCATATAGTAGGGATATTTAAACATATGAATTGTGATCAATTATAAATTTTGAAATATTTAAGGACTTATTATCGGGAAAAAATAATTAATAAAGGCGCAAGCAATACATAGTTATGTGGTTGTTCGAGTTCGAGAGTTGGTGGAACAAATTAACTTTAGAGTTTACACTAAATTGAGAGAATAATTTTGTTTAGTATGATCTGGAATTGGGTCTAATTTACGTTCATTCTGGTGAAGTCATTCAATTTGTTAATACCATTTGGGCGGAATGACTTCAATCTGTGCATCCAGAACTTTTCTTTGCTTTTCCTCCGAGCATCTGTCCATCTTGGGTTATGGTCAATCACCACTACTGTCATGTCCTCCCATTTGTGACCCTCAAGGTTGAAATGTTCCCCAACGGGTTCATTGAGTTTTTTGGTCCTAATGGTCGAACGGTGGTTATTGACTCTCCTACGGAGATCTCCTGTTTCACAAACATACTGTTTGGAGCAAACTTTGCAACTGATGAGATAAATGCAGTTGTCAGTATGACAGGACAAATTCCCTAGTATTTTGTAGTTGCGGCCTGTAACAGGGCTGTTAAAACTGTCTGTACCAGTGCTGTGCTTACAAAGAAGACATCTCCTGTCAGAGCAAGTTTTAAAGCCCCCGTTAGGTAATGGGTTGTCCAGTCTGGTTCTTAGTACCATGTCCTTTAGATTCCTTGGGCGTCTGTATCTTGGTAGATCCGACATTTAGGATATACAGTGTTGTTGGTTTTTTAGTGCTTTATATGACCTTAAAAACGTATATATATATATATATATATATATATATATATATATATTGATTGATTGATTGTATATTGTTTAACGTCCCTCTTGAGAATTTTTCACTCATATGGAGACGTCACCGTATGCCGGTGAAGGGCTTCAAATTTAGACCTATGCTCGGCACTCAGGGCCATTGAGCAGTGAGGGTTCTTTATCGTGCCAGCGCCTACCGTGACACGGGACCTACGTTTTTAAGGTCATATCCGAAAGACCCGTGACTTTCACTTCTGATGCCGAGCGCTGGGCGAAGGAACAGTCGCTACCTATTTTTACGTCTTAGGTTCGACGCGGCGCCGGGAACGAGAATCGAACCCGGGCCTCCCGATCACGAAGCGAACGCTCTACCACTAGGCTACCGTGAACGGTATATATATATATATATATTATGGTAAGGTATATATATATATATATATATATATATTTTTTTTTTAAACATTTATTTTTTTTTTCATCAAACAACAATAACACATACAAACACACACATACACTTAATGTTGATGAAGAATATACACCTGTTTGTCATAAGTGTGTACAAATTGTTCAATATAATATCTATAATGAATCCAGTTTCCTTTGGCTAGCCCACACCCTATTCGGCAAGGAAAAGCATAAGTCTGGTAAGGTAAACTTTCCCCCGCTTCTTGTAAACTAGTTTGAAACCATTGCTCTCTGTTTTGTGGGGTATCCTGATAAGTGGAAATTCTTTTAGGTCCGTGACTTGCTTTTCCATAATCCCATTGAGCTAGGAAACAAATGGCCACAGGTAATTGTGAGGTAAACACCCTAATAGTGCCTGGAATTCCTCTATCTTCTTCTACGGCTAAATTTCTAGTCCCTAGAGGTCTGCGAGTTGCATAAACATTCGCTTGTGGGAATTTCTCTGCAATACTTTGACTCAATCCATGAGCTTTTACAGTCAAACAATTACATTTATGGACAATGGCTTCTACCTCACAGTTGAGTAAATCACCATGTATCTCCTGAAGACTCATGATGTAAATGAGTCTACTTTTAAAAAGACCCTTGTTTTTATAAAAAACAACAACAATAAAAGACAGTTCAATCTTTTTATCTATTCAAATCTTGTGTAATCTACATACTTTAAGAACTTTTTCTTTAAAGCTACTCTAGCTGCAATGGCTTCAGGTTTCTTCCAGGCTCCTATCTCTCATTGTATCCAATCTCTGGGGTCCAATTCTTTGTTTCTCTCCTCAGGTTTTAGAACACCATATTCTTCATAGTCACCTCCTTGCTTGTAAAACATACTTTCAAATTCTGGGGTACTGTGAGACATAGCAACCTGGCAGTACAACGAACTTTACACATACATAGTCCTCCTACTGGTTTTTTCATTTGAATGAATCCCCTGATTTGATGCAGTTCTCCTGTCCAGGGATGCCTTTCCTTTTGTAAAATCAAATACTGGAAATAGTAGAAATCATCTTCGTTGCTCAGAAACATGTCTATATCTTCTTCATTTTTGGCCTCTGGAATGATAAAAGTCCAATTAATGGCCATCCTGTAACATCTGTCTGGAAATTTAGGATCATTCACTCTCTCATGCATGGGTAAATATTCATTACGAGGTTCCGGATCCAGCGTTTTCAACTCCATTCTTCTTTGTTGAGGAGCTTCGTGATCCCAAATAGGTTCCGTCATTCTCTTTTCTAATAAGGTAAATTTGTCTATGTCCATCTCAATCTCTTTTTCTTCTTCTAATATTCTAGGAATTCGCTTACTAAACTGTCTTTTACTCAACCACATGCCCAACTGATGAGGATCGTCTTTGAGACGTTGTTTTTATACCCCCCTTGGAAGATAAGGGTCGTGTGCAAAAAATACATGTGTATGACCTACGTTTTGTTGTTCCCTACAGCTACGTTTTGTTTACGATTTTGACGCAGCCATTTTCTTTATTGTGACGTCATCTCACTCATTCATGAGCTCACTAGCTGCAGTGTTTATGTATACAGAACTATAACACATAGATTTTTTTTCATTCTTTATTAACAACAACAACAACAACAACAAACAACAACAACAATGCATTACAATACATTTTGATAAAAACATTGACACTTTTGTCCATGAGCCGTAGGTAATTTATGATAAGTGTTTTTAAACCAAACGCCCACGTATCTGTCCCTTTGTAAAGCCGTACTCTGGTCAGGGAATAACAACTCGTCGGCTTTCTTTCTTTTCTTGTCTCTTTGATGTAAATAATACACGCAATATTGTCCACACACATCGGTAGTCCAGTCTTGATAGCGATACGGATTATAAATCCATTGCTGAGCATGACGCTGGATAAAGTCCTGAATTTCTTTTTGTAAGGGAGGAAATCCATAAGAATCGAAATATTCCACCACGGGATTGCTTACACACAGACACACCCAATGTTCTCCAGGTCGATCTTGAGGATCCGTATTCACGACGATGGCTTTTTCTCCAGGTCTTAATTGATCCGGTAATAAATCTACAGGATACACGCCCCCAAAAGAACTCTTGAATTCTCTGCATAAGACTTCTCTCAATTGTCCCGTATCCATTAGTAATCAACACTCACTTCTTACTGTTTGTTAATTTCTAATAGGTTATCGAATTCTGCATACACCACACAATTTATGGTGGTAGCCGTATTGTTGGTAAACTGCACTTCTACTCTCAGATTTCCTGTTTCTATGATGTGGAATTCATCCGATTGCGCCTCTTGATCTTCAGTGAAATCCCAGCCCCATAGAGTGTAGCCGCTTTTATACTCTTCTAGGGTAATGTCCGGAGCCCAATCTTCTCCTAATTTTCCCAGGGCTTGATACAGACTGAGATAAGATCTCAGATATAAATTGTCGTTGAAATTAGGCTCAAAACAACGAGTACTAATGGTCTCTCCGTTTATACTGACATCTAATTTCTTGATCCCAAAGTTTTGGAAATGAAAGGGATTTTTAGTTTGATCTCCGTTAAAGGCCGCATTCTCCATAAACCCTAAAATGAGACGTTTAGGCATCTGACCTTGAAACAGATGATCCGTAATCTTAGACTGAGATCCTGTCGCGATGGTAAAGGTTTTCACTTCCACTCTTCTCAAGGGATATTTGGCTCTGTGGGTATTCAAACTCTGATTAATGGCATTCATCATGACTGGTGTGGGTTTGACTTTTCTCACCCACAAGATCATACTCAAAATTTTCACTTTTCCTGTACTTCCTCCTTTGGTCATCATGTAGAAAGTGGGTCTAGCTCGATTAAATCGCAAACGGACGTCCACTCCATTAGGCAGAAATCGATCTTGTTGAAACAAATCCAGATGTAAACGATCCAGCAAACTGATTTTCTTACTCCCATTGATAGCTTGGTGTCTTTTTGGGAATCCTTCGTTTTTAGAATTGGCCGGTAACTCTGTGAGGATGGGTTCGTTAATGGTCACCGTGTCGGAGTTACATTAAAGGTTTTATTTTGAGCTACACCAAGGTCATCTAACCCTACTTCGTCCATGTGTCCTGCCGTATCTTTTTCTCACAGACTACAGGCCCTCATCTGTGTCGTTAAAGTTCTGGGTTGGTTAGACAATAATTTCTCAAGATAAGCTTTGTAAGGATAGGTATTCGTCCGCGGAGTCACTACTTTCCCATTCAGACTGACATCGATTTCATGGAATGTAAGATATTATTCACTGGACTGGAAGTGCTGTTAAACCCAGTCAGATTACTTTCATAGTCTTTGGTAAATTTACATACCAATTGAAGATAAGTTTGATATTAATCCATATAGTGATCTCCTTGGCCTTTAATTTCAAATTCGATAGGAGCGGTCTCCGAATCTAAAGAACTGGAAATGGGGTAATATTCTTCCCATTTTTAGTCTTCTAAAGCAATATTAGTCGGAGGGACTTGGAACAATTGTAAATTGTTCATTCCACACCTACAGGAATCAGGTTGTAATATGATATGTCTACTAGGATTAAGTTTTCACAAATGAACCTTCTGTTCACTTGACTGGCCTATTTATACTCTCTCCGTCAAACACATCTAAAGGACGTTTTCTTTTAGGAATTCCTCCTTGTGTTTTCCTTTTTCTCTTAGGACCTCCTCGGGCTAACATAGGTGTCTTTTTTTCTGTTCTTAGTACCTCCTAGATTCATTCTTTGTTTCACCATTCCCGAAGTATTTTTGAGAGCTCTTACTCCGTGAGTTTTGACTGCGTCTTTTAAAGATCTCTTATTTTCTAATACGTCTAATCCAGTGATAGCAGCAGCAGTCAAGGCGTGTTTAGCCCCCGTTTTCAGTAAATCAGTAAAAAATCCACGGCCTCTCTGTCGTCTCCTTCTTTTTCTCCTTGTTATTTTCATTCCCGACCCTCTCTGTTTTTTCATTCTCTTTCTTCTTTTCTTAGTACCTCCTAGATTCATTCTTAGTTTCATCATTCCCGAAGTATTTTGAGGGCTCTTACTCCGTGAGGTTTGACTGCGTCTTTTAAAGATCTCTTATTTTCTAATATGTCTAATCCCGTTCTAGCAGTAGCAGTTAAGGCGTGTTTAGCTCCTGTTTTCAGTAAATCAGTAAAAAACCCTTCCCCTCTTTGATAATTTTGGGGTGGATAATAGGCTGGTGGTGGTGGGGCTTGCTGTTGACCCAATAATCCTCCTACTAGATTGCTGACTAAGGGAGCTGCTACTTTAAATAGGGATCCTAAAAAACCATGTCCTTTTTGACGTAATAAGCCTTTATGATAGACAAACTGTCCGTGTCCTCTTTGTCTCAGTAATCCTGGATGATACTGCATGGTTCATGTCTCTTGTTTAACTGACCTTTCTGTCCTCAGGGACTTCCTTTTATACCCTTTTAGGGTTAATACAATACAGACAGAAGACCAGACAAGTCATCACGCCCAATAAGATGGAACAAAATAAGGGTTCACTCATCTCAGTATACTTTTCTGAAATGAAGTTTAACGATGGATTTGCCACTTTAAAAAGGCATGGGTTGTCCTAAAGGAGTCAAGATGTGAATATCAATGGTATCGAAATGTTTTTATTCAAAGGGACATATTCCGCTCGAATGGGTTCCCATTTACATTGTTTTTCTTTGTCCTCAAAATGACAAGGCACCACTCTTAATAATTTCAAGGCATTGGAGCCAACCGTCTGGGGTTGAATGAGATCGCAATACACATACATGGATTTAAAATTCCGGTACAAATCGGGAGTGTCCGGAGCCATGTAACTGATGTTGATCCATTTAGTGGTATTTTCTGTCCAATTTTCAGGCATCATTTTGCGAGAATGGTAGCCTAATTTATAAGCCAGACTTAAGAGAAACCTTATAAAGATGGGAATTTGACGTAAATGAGTGACATAATTCACTCGATCGAAATTGTCCCTATAAGTAAATCTCATCTCGCTTTTAGGGGGTTCTTCATCTTCTGCTTTCAGGTCTTTTAGAACTTTCTTTAAGGGGGCTTCTAAAGTCCCATCAATTCCATCTCCTTTATTCCTGCTTTTCGGTTTGGTCTTGAATTGGCTAGAATTGATATTTTTTCCAAAAGCATTTCTTGCAACGTTCTAAACCTTCATTGATTTCGGCTAGGAGAGCTGTAGGGTTGGCATAAGCCCCGGTCTAAATTTGAGGCGATACAAATTTAATTTCTCTTTTGGATCATAAGTCCCAGTCAACCAATACGCTTGACTCCATCCCACTAACAGTTGGGTATCTGCAAAGGTGATAGGGGCACTTTTCAAAAGTTGAAAGCTTCCCCATTGATACTTATCTGGATCGTCGAGATCCAGTTTTTCCCTCCCCTGAAGGTTTTTAAAAAAGAGTGGGACTTTTTCCACCATACACATGTCCAGATGAGCTTCTTCTTCACTGATATTTTCGATACTACAAGGATAGATCATTTCCATCAAGTTCACTTCCCATTGACCGTCCGTTAAATCCAGGGATTGAGGCAATAAGGTTTTAAATTGAGCAGTCGTATTGCTAGGAAAAGAGGTCATGGACCCATCGCTGGGTAAAGTCATGTAAAACCCACTGCTCTCGGCTATGTTCATTCTACGACTGAGACCCTAGACCTTAGGACCTTTGTATTTATAACAACACTTTTTTAAAATAAACATTTTTATTCAATTATTTACATTTCTACTTCTTCTTCTTCGTCTTCTGATCGGTCCTCAATCACTCGAGTCAACAAAAGTCCTTTCTTTTCCATCGAGTCTTTAATCTGGGAAAAGGGAATGCGACAATACTCGTACTCTACAGGACAGTAATGAGGTGGAAACGTCAGTCCTTTTTTCTCCATCTTGAAACAATATTTCATACAATCTCCAATGTCCGAGTACCATGAACTTTCATTCTGAATGGTGTTGATGGGTGTCAGACTATTCAAATGAGTACAGGTGACCCATTTGAATTGCTGATAATGTTGGTTGATTTTCACTCTCACTCTAGATCCTGTTAGAGGATAGGGGATTTTCACTCTTTTTTCCAACCACACATTGTCCAGGGAATAGCTTGGATGATTTTCAAAGAAATCCATGATGGCTCCTATTTTAGTTTTCATCCACCCTCCTTGCATATACATAAACTGGCTGACGGGACTCTCACAATACCGACGATACTGCATCTTTGGGAAACAAAACACGTCTGACTTGTGTCCTTTTTCAGAATGAAAACCTCTTGTTAAAAAAAACCCCACTCCTCCATTTTTTAAGCTATTTTTTTAAAAAACAAACAACAAAACAAAGTGTTTAAAAGCAAGATTTTATTCACGTAAAATACAAAAATGTGAAAATGATTTTAATTTCCCATGTATCGAGGAAGGAAGTCTCAAAGAGTTTCTTCACACACTTTTCACAACACGGATATTGCCTGCATTGTCCGCATTTCCATTTCGCTACCGTATTTTCCTGGCAGCAGGTCATGCATTCCTTCAAGGGTCTGTTCCTGGTCATTTTCATCCATCGGGGAGGGGGTATGTTCTCAATTCCCTTCTTCCAGATGAAATATTTCATGCACCAGCTACAGCCACAAGTCTCTATGGAAGGCTCATCATCGTGAAACCAGTGTGGAAATGGCATTTCACAATGCTCGCAAATTCTATACGTTCTGTGATGCCATCCCGGATAGTCATACACTGTGAATGTTTTAAAATGCATCGTATTCTGATCACAGTAATGACAAACATGATTTTCTACCTCGTACCAATACACAAATCTCCACGTAAAAAACATGATGGGTACAATGAGCGCAGGGTACTCCAAGCTCCGCTTTATATACCTTACTGTAAGGTCGTGTGCAAAAATGAGTTGGACATACGTTTTGCTCATGTACGACCTTGGGACGTTTTTTATGCTGAATACATAATACGTATACTTGGCAGGGATTCAAGTCAGTGATTGTGATGTCATCATCACAAACCTAGTGTATATAGAGCGGTCAGTTGTGTGTATAGGGAAAATAACGAACAACATTAAAATTTTGGTTTTCTCTGTTTTATTTATTCATAACAACAAGAACATCAATAACATCATAATAACAAACATTCAAAACTTTTGTTCAGTTCTTTTTGTATGGGAAAAGATCTCCTCATGTACAAATAGTTTGTTTCACAAGCACAGTCCATGATATCGTATCCTTTTTGAATCACTTCTTTCAGATAGTCTTGTATACACTCTCTGGCTTTTTCCATCCATTTCCCATAAATCCAAGTCTTATCGGGTCCCTGTCTTTGGTGAGCCAAGACATAATTGACTTTCCATTTGAATTCTTCATACTTAGGTGATCTGGCTCCTAATAAGACCAAGTAGATTTCATTGAGACCTGTTTGTCCTGTATTCTTATCAAAGAAATCTTGAATACATGTCTCTTTGTTTCTCATCCATTTTCCTTTGTGAGTAGAACCTTGAGGTTCTACTATTTTCCAACGATACTCTGAGCTTTGAAATTCCATGATGTGCTCTGTCCCTCGCTCAGATCAGAAATGATCCTCTTGGGTTTGGTTGTCTCCTAATATAGAGACACTAACTTGGTGAATTCGTCCTCTTGACCGTAGGGGTTTGATTCATCATGGTAGGACTAGGCATGATGTAACCGACCGAAGAACTCACACAGACCATCCAATATTCTCGATTAGGATCGTGTAAAGCTAACATGACCACACTCGTGATGATGAGGGAAATACAAATGAATAATTGGGCAAAATACACAATTTCTTCTCGAGAAATATTCTCTCCACAAAATTTCCAATAAGGAGTTACTGGATGAGATCCGTTTGAGGAATCCATGAATCGAAACTAGGGGGATATCCTTTCCACCTGACTTTGACTTCTTGAATGATTTTTTTCCCGACTCGTCGCTTTTTATACCCCAAGATTTCCCCCACTTCGTACACGTCGTCTTTTTTAATGATCTGTTGTAATTCTTTCTCGTAAAAAGTCCCTTCTAATTCCTCCTTGTTGTAATCCTGTACTCGATATACGTAAGGATACCGACCTGGGACTCGTTGAGCAATGGTAAATATTTCCGTGGTTCAGTTCGGTAAATATCCTTTTTCAAAAGTGCGTATGGCTTTACTGATGCGGACCTTATCTCCTGTTTTAAACTTCTGTTTAGGAGATGTCTGTGATTCCCCACATAAAGTTTTCCAGACTTTTAACACATTCGAGGGCTTTACTTGAGCTAGGGCTCTTTGGAAACTGCGATGATAGGTATGATTGTAAGCATACACTAAATCCGATAAGACCTCTAAATACCGTCCGGTTTTATTCCGAGTGAAATACCGCCACATGCGTGCTTTGAGGGTTCTCTGGAATCGTTCCACGATACTGGCTTTGGTGTCCGTATTGCGAGTGGTAAAGAAATGAATGGATTTAAAAGCCTGTAAGAATTCTCGATTGGTAAATTCTTTGCCTTGATCCGATTGAATGCGGACGGGACGTCGACCGTCTTGTCGGAAAATCTCTTGTTATCCTCGAATCATTTCTTTCCCCGTTTTCTGTTTTAAAGGCATAACCCAAGCATATTTAGATAAGACGTCAATGGCACACAATAAAAACGTATAGCCGTCATTGTGTTTCTTTAAACTGGACACATCGGCTAAATCTAATTTCCATTGTTCGTCTATATCCGTCACTCTGGTCTGTTGTCTCCGGAATTTTCTATGAATGGGTTTATGTAAGGTATAGGTATCTTGCTCTTTTAACCATTCTCGTATGGTGTTAGAAGAAACCTTATGCCCCAGACTTTTGACCTGACGATACAAAGTCTGTATGCCTCCATACCCTCTCTTGGGATCGTAATAAATCTCTTTTAAAATGTCTTCCACTTCCTTCTTCTTCTTCATTTCTTAGGCAAAGGAAGCCAATCTTCGTCGATTTGTTGTAATCTCTTTTAAAATAGATCTGCTCTGACTTTCTTTTCTTCTGGAGGGCCTCCTCTAACTTTAAAATAGGGGAAGGCTTGAATTTTATAGATCGACTAATAGGGGTCAAAAAAGATGAAGCATCATGAAATCCGCTCTAGGTCTCTTCGTCGTCGTCATCACTAAAGGCCCCTTTAGGAGTACTGATTTTTTTCGATTTCTGCATGGCTTTTATAAGGCTTTGATTTTTCATATAGTCCATGGGAGCATGGGTCTCTTTTAAAGCTTGAGCAAATTCATCTAATCCTTTAGGCACCGGATGATTTTTCAAGGGTCTGGTTCTCATGTTTTCGGTCATTAAATCCACAATGTTAGAATCGGGTACTTTTTGACCTCGATAACTGATTTCTCCGTCTTTATTCCAAGTCAATACTTTGGTTTTCTTTAAATGATTTAATAATAATTCAGCTTTCCTTTGCATGGGTTTATTCACACTATGAAGGATTTGTTGATCGATCTCGGGGTCTGGAGCTGGTGCTGCGGGGGCTGGGGTTACTGCTGGGGCTACGGATGCAGGGGCTGAGGTTTTTTTCACTGGTTTTCTTGCTTGTTGTTAAATCTTCACGTCGTGTAATCCGGTCCAATTCTTGACCTATACTCAGCGTAGATTGAAATTCCGGAGGTTTGGGGAGTTTTCCTTTGAGTCTATTCAACAGAACTTCAGGTACCCACACCATTTTACGACTCATTTTAGGAGGTTCAAAAGTGAAGGAGCAGCTGACGAGATTAAAAAAGGAAAAAAAAAACACCTTTCTGCTTGACTGATAAGGCTCTTCGTCTCTGGACAGATTGGGGTCGAATCAGTCTCCTTAAGATGTGTTTCTTAGGAGCTAGTTTTCGTTTCTGAGCCGAATTGAGAGGTAACACTCCTTTTAATAGGTTGTAGACGATCTCACAAATTGTCAGAATACAATCTCCAGAACAATGTTTTAAAATCCCCGTTTTTAAGGACGAAGAATAGAGAGGGTCCAATAACACTCTTAAAAGAGGGGCATGCGCTCTTAATCGCGTACAACATCCCTTTTTCTTCTTGGCCATCTTTGAAAACAATGAAGAGAGTTCTACCATGTCACTCCCTTTTACAGTGTCTCTCTTAAGGAGGGGCATATCCTCCGTGTTTGTCGCTCTCGTGTTTATCTCTAGCTTTCTCCCTGACATAAATTTTTCCACAATATCGGCATTTATATTTCAGACCTTTAGGAAGTTTAGGGGATGGAGGCCGTCAAGGGTTGAAAACTTATTTTAGGGGAGTGGACGGGGACTTTAATTCCAAGGGAGGAGGGAATACCAACATTCACTCGAGGAAACACTTCTAAATCGCTGGCTCTTTGACCGCCTATGGGTCCCATAGCACGATCCATTCTCAGTTCTGCTTGTTTATTGAGCAACTCTCCTATGGTCTTTTGTCTTTGTTCCTTATAATACTGATTGATTTCGTTTTTTAGACTTTCGGGCATGGCTTTACGTTGAGCTAGAGTTTGAGGGGCAGATTTCCTTTTCGCCTTTTTCTTGGGAGGGGCTTTTTTCTTGGGCGGGGCTCTTTTCTTTTTAGGAGGGGCTTTTCTCTTATTGGGGGGGGGGCGTTTCTCTTCTTTTTTTCTGCTCTTTTTAGCTGCTCATCCGACTCGGACCATCCAATCCGGAAACACTCTTTGTTTCTTATTATCGACTCTCACCACTACACTCTTCAAACGACGAACCCGGCGTTTTTTTGGACTATTCCATTTGAATAAATGACGAATGATGACTCCGCCTAGAAATCCAGCTCCTCCGCGCTTTAAAATAGCCGTTTTTCTGTCTTGATCACTGGCCGATTGATCGGCAATGATCTTTAAATCTTGACGATTGTTAATTGATAGGTAAGACCCCTTTCGTTAAATTGCGAGCTCCCATGGCAAACCAATTCAATAAGGCTTTACGCCCTAATTCGATTAAATGGGCTCACTTCGCGGGATCTCGTTCCCGCTGTAAATGTCGTAAGGTTCTCACTAATTTACTCTTGGCCGATGGAGCCATGATGAAATGAAAATGAACAATGACCCAGAAGAGTGTGAAACACTTTTATTTATACTCTTGAGGCATGTGTACAGTCAACAATTCAAACATTCGACTTCTCAATCGGTATTGGTCTGGGGTCTGGGGACTCAGGTCGACCAGAAGATATCCGTGAGGTACCTGGGTAGCTTTTTGATGAGCTGACATCAAATGAGGCAAGGCTAGCTGACGACTCAACACACTGATCTGAGTTTTGTCTCTGGGATTTTTGAATAAAACTAAATAATGAGATTCAAACTAATGGTGCTATGAGAGGCGGCTCGATCAAATAAATTCTGAGTGATGTAAATCACACTGGTATTCCAATGATGCGCTTTGCGGGTAAACCAATCCACAATGGATTCGATGGCTTTTCCTCCCATCATATCGTCTAAAATTAGTAAGTGTGGCACACTCAAATTGGCTACTAATTTTTCGTCGTCTTCTGGAATATTTCGGATGAAAGATACTTTATCTTTTAAAGATGTGTAAGCGGGTTGCCATTCCCGATAACACCAGACGATTTTTTCGGGCCTGGGAGTGATCCAGTCTATATTGTGCACTAATGTCTTGAAGAATTCTGTTTTGCCCGATTTCGAGGGTCCTGCAACCACCATGGTAAACTCGTGTTTCAAATGAAAAGAGGGGAGGGGTGTCTCCTCGAAATACATGTTGATCAATGAAGGAAGAGTTGGGTTCAGGGTCCTATTTATAGTTAACACAGAAATATGCGTTTGGACTGTTGAATCTCGGCTCGACAGATGGGGCAAAACTGGAAGGAAGGAGCACACAAAGCACAGCAACATACGTGTCCACAAGGTAGAAAAGCGATTTCTAATTCCTTGTCTAAACAAATGTGACATTTTCCTCGAGCCTGGACGTCTGGTTCTGGGTTCAGTAAAGGTTTGATCTCAGTTAAAAGTTTATACCCATGCTGATCTAAACCTGCAATGAAAACATTCATCACCCACCCTCGTCCTTTATACAGATTGATGTAAGGACAATTCAGATTCCAATAAGCATGTTCTGCATAAGGATCGTCCTCGGGATCCCAATTAGTTAAAGTAAATCCACAATGAAAACAGGTAGTACTATCTTTCACTCCCTTGTAGTAAAACCCAGCTCGAGCTATGTCTGGTATTTTTCCTAAGAGAGGCTCTGGCCATCCGTGCTCAAACGTAGCTTCTCTCTTTGAGAGCCGAGAATGCTTGGGATAACACATGGGTTGGTCTGGCACTTTATCAGTCATGACTGAATTTTTGATTTGTATTGCCCCTCTTTTTATAGTGAATATGAAGAAGAAAAAAACACACAAAACAGCAATTTAATTTTTTAATTTAATGTCAACCTTGAACATATCAATAACTATAAGGTAAAGTGTTATAAGAGGTAACAATTGTCTCTTATCATACACAATTCTATACTTTTTCTCTAAAGGTTTGGTCACGACGTCATGATCACGGGTCCTCTGGATTTTGTAGGGATAAGGTGCTTTAATTTCCTCTATTTCTCCCTTGAGCATTTCTTCTAAAGTCTCTAGGGACACGATCTGAGAGGTTCGATAGTTGAGAGTGATTCCTTTGACTTTATGGACTTCAGTTCCTTTGGCCGTCCGGTAACCATAATTTTTAGGGCCTGCGGACATGAATTTGATCATGTGATCCCCGTCTAATTCGTCGGTCCATTCTCCTAAACTATTAGGATTAAAGGCTCCTTCCCGATGTTGGCAAATGATACTGTCCGTATCGAAATAAAGGACCTGATCTCCTAAAGGTTTTAAAGTCTCGTAGAGGTGTAAGCGAGCATGAGCAGTGGTAAAACAAGCCAGGACCACGTTTCCAAAGGGATATTCTTCTACGAATTCCTGTTTGTTTTGATAATTCACCAGCATCTTGTCCTTTCTGGGGTCCTCTTTATTGTCTAAGAGTTGCATGCCCTTGATGTTGAGAGTCGAATCTTGTAAGAGTTGCTGTAATTCCTCTTCTTCGTCCAAGTATCTGGTTTTGGGTAATAACAAGCGTTGAGCAAATTTTCCCCACAGACAATTTAAAAAGAGTTTAGCAATGGTTCTTCTCACTGGATTATTCTCGATACTGAGAATGTCTATCATAAATCCTTCTTTGTATACGACTTGTTGAATGTAATCTTGTTCTTGTTCTGAGGTCTTACAGTCGGGGGGAAATCCGGACGCTTCCTGTTTGATCTTGAGGAAGGTATCGATGTAGGGTCTGAATAAATGCTTTCTGCTTTCTTTAAAATGCCACACTTCGTAGATTCGTTCTAAGGTACATCCCATGTCCAGGGCTTTATGTAATTCGGTCGTCACCCAAGTGCCCATGAGACTACGTTCCTGGTCAGTGTGTTGACATCGATCTTGAGAAGTAGAGTCCTGTCGTTCGGCACACGTTCGACATAAGGGAAATAATAACTTGCCTCTAGTCCGATAAGGTAATACGGGGTGATAGAGGCCTCCGGAAGGTAAAACCCGACAGTGAATGAGCCCGAAATAACTTCTCACGTCCTTGAACTCGTCTGTGATGATCTCGGGATGCCCTACAGGAAAAGGTCTGTGTTTCAACATGTAAGGGTATAGGGAACAGACGTCCACGTACCTCATGTCCCCTTCCTCACTTCCTCAATATAATCGGGTGGCATTGGTCCGGCCTCCGTACAGGGCTTCTCGGAGGTTCAAAGGATAGGGAATGTCCAGGTCTCGTACAAAATGCTGTAAACTCACATCTCTTTCACTTGCCGATCGAAATCGTGCTCCCAGATACTACGGACGGTGTACCCCATGTCCTCCAAATCCGCAGTCCTTCTGAGGGTTTCGTCGTGTAAATCCTGGTAAGTAAATTGGGTCCGGTGAGGATGAGTTTCGGTCTGTAGACTGGGATAGCAGGTGGGGCATCCGTGCCAATAGCACCCGTAAAATTCGTACACGGTACGAGTCGCTTCCTGGTATCCGTCGACGGTATAATTTCCAATCTGGACTTTGCCCCCGTTTCTGGCATGACGTATGTGACATCCGGTCTGTTGACTCATCCAGGTGAGCCACCGACAGGCTTTGGTCGAATATTGTCGTGCTGGTTGATACCCCAGGTTCGGAATGATGGCAATGGTCTCTTTAGGCATGAATTCTCGACGGTAGGCTAAATTGGCAGCACTGGCAAAGGTGATGGATTCCTGGAAAGGATCCACTTTGACCAAAATCTTGAGGGTGGCTATAAACTGTGCACAGCATCGTCGGAGACACAATACTCTACAAACTTTTTCTGGAAATCAAACACTTTTCCGGTCTGTTGTTCGTACCATTCGAAAAAGGCCTGTCGTCCACTGATGGAGATTTCGTCCGGATTGTAGTCCTCTGCGGGTGGATAAGGCCCCACGTAATTCTGGTTCTGTTCCGTATTATAAAAGTGGGGGAAATAGCCTTTCTTGAGTTCGGTGAATCTAAAAGCCGAGGGCACCTTGACCAATGCAAAGGGTAAGAAATGATAGGAATCGATGAATTTCAGTCCGCAAATTTCCATGTACAAGATCTTACTGCCGTTCATGATGACGTTAGGTTTCATGCAAGAGGAATGCACTAGGTGATTCAAAATGAACTGTCCGTCGTATCCTTTGAAGTCATGGGCGATGACGATGGCCTCGGCGTGTACTAAAGTGGAATTCTTAGTACCTGTAGTAGGTTGTAATAACCAGTCCATGAACTTCTTTAAGGTGTCTGATCCTTTAAATATGTGCTGACAGGGTCCCATGTGTTGACAATGAGGACAGGGTTGCTCTATGGGTAAGTGACCGCAATGTTGACAGACGCGGTGTGCCACACACAGATTAGGGATGTGGATGCTGCGCAGGTAGGTTAAGGTTACAACCAAATATTCTACTTGCCTATATGATATGACGTCATAGTAAGCTATATGACGTGAGGTTTAGAGATAATAATTTCTTAAAATCGATATCTAAGATTGATTTGAAGTCGTGAAAATGAATCAAAATATGCAGAGGCATAGTGTGAACCGAATTTTATCGTTCCTGGGCGGGCCTCTGTAGTTACCACAGGGGTTACATGCCAAACCCGTGACGTCATAACTGTTGATCATGCAGTAGCAGAGTGAAACTGAATCGTAACGAGAATTGATGTAAACAAACACAAGAAATTGGAGTTTAAAAGCATTTAGAATGAATATCATGTGTGATTCTTGTGGGAATAAAGCGTATGAATAAGGTATGGTAATAATATTTTGCAATTTCCTCGCAGAATTATAGCATGGAGGGTGTTTACTTGCCGATCAGCCTTTCCTCTGTCGTTCGTAACAAAAAAGATGCAAAAGTTCAACACTACGCCGCATACCTTGAAACTTAATTTTTGTTTCTATCTAAAGTTCTTATTCTTTTGTTTTTGGAAAGTGCTGCTAGAATCGTATGGTTTACGGGAATTAATGCTTTTTTTTCAATGTTATGAACAAAATGTAAACATTTTGGGAAGGTTTCGTCCAAAATTGTTGAATAATTATTTCTATAATAGGACAGTACGATTCTAGCAGCACTTGTCATGGTACAGAGATGTTTTTATAACTATTATTACAAATTGAAAATAATTATCCCCGGGGTAGTGTTAAACTTTTCACTTTTTCATTAAGGCATATTTTCTAATTATAGACGTCACGTGGTGACGTCTTGGTGAAGTGCCTCCTGTAGTATAAGCGCCCTTGAAGTCTATAGAACTCATAATTGTAGCAAAAGTTTTATCCTTGACTTTTCCGATTTATTAGTGTAACATTATTTAAAAAAGTGTGAATTCGCCGAATTCTGATCCATGTGCTGCCTTAACATACCCGCGCGGTTTCCTGAGTGCATTCGAAATCGAAATAGATGTAAAACTGTAAGGTCTCTTTCCCCTTCTTCTTGTTCTCAGGCTTCTGTTGAACGTAGCTCTGATGATCGGCATCGACGATTTTCTTATAGATCTTACATTGTTTCTGTTCTCCGCACTTGTGACGAGGAAACAATTTCTTAGGAATCCAGGACTGATGCTTCTCGCATCGTCCCATTAAATTGCAAACACTGGTGGTGGTCTTCTTACTATAGGGTCTTAAATGATTTTCGTAGCAGGTCATGTTCTTAAAAAATCCTTGACATTCCTGACATTGAATGTGGGCCCCGTCTTCGGGACATCGGGGGTATCCTAAACAATATTTACAGCGATGAGGGCACTGGGACCGATGATCTGTAATGTGACTGTACCCCACATTGCAATGATCACAGTAATAGGGGTTCCCCGTCACTCCCGGCATGGATAGGATGGCATCGCAATGATGGTCGTCTAACAAAATGTTCAAACAAGTTCCGTCTCCCCAGCCTTTGTAAATAGGCTCTAAACAGAGTTTAGTCGAAGTGGCCTTGAACTGAAATATTTTCAGTCGATACTGAGGAGCTAACACCTGTTGTAGCTTCGTCCACTCTGCAGATCCACAAGAGTATCAAAATATGCAGAGGCATAGTGTGAACCGAATTTTATCGTTCCTGGGCGGGCCTCTGTAGTTACCACAGGGGTTACATGCCAAACCCGTGACGTCATAACTGTTGATCATGCAGTAGCAGAGTGAAACTGAATCGTAACGAGAATTGATGTAAACAAACACAAGAAATTGGAGTTTAAAAGCATTTAGAATGAATATCATGTGTGATTCTTGTGGGAATAAAGCGTATGAATAAGGTATGGTAATAATATTTTGCAATTTCCTCGCAGAATTATAGCATGGAGGGTGTTTACTTGCCGATCAGCCTTTCCTCTGTCGTTCGTAACAAAAAAGATGCAAAAGTTCAACACTATGCCGCATACCTTGAAACTTAATTTTTGTTTCTATCTAAAGTTCTTATTCTTTTGTTTTTGGAAAGTGCTGCTAGAATCGTATGGTTTACGGGAATTAATGCTTTTTTTCGATGTTATGAAAAAAATGTAAACATTTTGGGAAGGTTTCGTCCAAAATTGTTGAATAATTATTTCTATAATAGGACAGTACGATTCTAGCAGCACTTGTCATGGTACAGAGATGTTTTTATAACTATTATTACAAATTGAAAATAATTATCCCCGGGGTAGTGTTAAACTTTTCACTTTTTCATTAAGGCATATTTTCTAATTATAGACGTCACGTGATGACGTCTTGGTGAAGTGCCTCCTGTAGTATAAGCGCCCTTGAAGTCTATAGAACTCATAATTGTAGCAAAAGTTTTATCCTTGAC